GAGGCAGATAAAAATTTCTATAGCAATTGTAAAAATATTTTTCTCGTAATAAAAACTAATAAAATAGGCCGAAAACTCATTACTATATTATATATGTTGACATTAATCTAGCACAAAACCTGCACAAAAATAACTCAATTATAGTCAATAGAAATCTAATTTAATGAAGGAAAAATTCTTAAATTTTGTTTAATAAAATTACATTCATTTTTTTTGATATCATCTTTGATAATAAATTGTTAATTGAACTTAATCTAGCACAAAAATAATTTATCAAGATATATTTATTAAAAATAAATAAAGTATAAAATTCCCAAGATTTATTTTTTGATTGGACAAAAACCTGTGTCTATAATCAAACAGAAATCCAATTTATTTAAGGACACAACGAAGAAAATTTCTTAATTTCATTTAATAAAATTAAATTCATTTATTTTTCTTGTCACTTTTGCTAAGGCTTGTATTGGATTGAGATTTTAATGGATTGTTTTTAGAAAAAAAAATCTATTGGTATTCAATTTTTATTTTAAAGGATTGAAAAAAGGTCATGCAGTATGCGATTAGAATTTTAAAAGATTATTTTAGAGTCCGTCCAAATTCGGTGGTATTCAATCAGGATTTTAAACAAAGGAAAAATATATTGTGGTATTAAAAAATCTGACAATTTTAGTAGATTTTTTATTGGTGTGAATTTCATGAGTCTTTTTAGTGAGAAATATAAATAAAATGTCTCTCTCACAATCTCACCTTAAGATTTCTTGAGATTTTTCTATTGCAGTGTCTTCTTCTTCCTTTGACGAGTCAACCAGTTTGAAATTAGGTTTCGCCATGGGAGCTTCGTCAAAACTCAAAAAATAGCAGATCTTAAGTATTTTCAACACAAAAATAATCTAGAAACTACAACCCAACAAGATTCTAATATAATCAATCTCAAAAATAGCAAATATTTTAGTGATTTTTGAAAGTTAAAAAAATGATTTTCAAACTATGGGTTACAATTTTTTTGGCACAAAAAGGTATGATTTTTGCATTAAAAGCAACATAAAACAATGAGAAAATAATAGGGGAAAAAATCCACCAAATCAATTTTCGTTTTGCATCGATAAAATAATATAAATTTAAAAAAAGATTGAAACTTTTATAATATGTTTCATAACAATACATTCATAGATATGTGGAGAGTTGCTGCTTAATAGGATCTTAATAGGATATTAAGTTACATCAAATTACTGATTGAGAAAATTATATTATGTTTTACTTTTTTTTATTAATATTATTGCATTTCTTTGTTATTTTTTATTAACTCTTGTAATTTTGAATATTTATTAAAAAATCATATTATTTTTCAAATCTTATAAATCTAGAGTAAATATCATTTTTGATCTCTGGCAATATCCACGAACCCCTTATTGGTCCCTAGCAATAAAAAAGGGACATAGTGGTCCCTTAAATTACAAAAAACAGGCCACGTTAGTTCTTATGTTAAATCTCATCCAACAGCCCAACTAACGGTGCACACTTGGCACGTTAGTTTGCTGACGCGGATTTGAGTGGTCCACCGTGGATGTTGAGACGACGACGTTTTGATAATCAGTTGCATTTCCATGGTCGTGTGGACACCTGACCTAGCATCACTTGCATCTCCAACGCCCTTATTGGTCCCTGACAAAAACCACGGGGCCTTTTTTGGTCCCTAACTAAAGAAAAACAGGGACATGAAATTAGAGGATTTCTATGCAATCAAATTTGTTAAACCAGAAGACATGGATGTACAACAATCTGAAGTTCAGCTTTCTAAATTATGAAAGCATTGTATGACACTTATTGTTTCAAACAAAAGTGCAATAATTCAAACAACATATAAGCTAAAACTTTGTTGTATACCAAACATAGAAGTATGTCCCTAGCTTAAATGATAAGACAGCTTAAACAATGCATACAACATTGCTGCTCTACTTTAGACTTCAGAGAAATAGAACTGACTAACATGCATATCTTCTCTATTCACTTTTACTGCCATATTTTTACCAACAAACATAGTACTTGTCAATGATGAGAGTCTGCAGCAGTGCAGATACTAAATAACATAGCTAGTTACAATTTTGCAAAAATATCCCCTTCTTTCTTCAACAGAAAAAAATTAAAAGTTATTCTATGATTGGGATGGATAAAAAAGGATATAAAAATGAAACTTATAGAAAGCCAAGAACAAAAAAATAATACCATGAAACCCTCAATCTCTCAGTCAATTCATAGCAAAAAGAACCTTCAAGAGCTAAGCTAAGTGAACACTTTCATTTTCACCCCAAATTAAATGTAAATTTGAAATTTAATTTTTAAAAATACTAGCATCCTCTTAAACTTACATACACCCAGATCCAGAAAGCATAGAGCATACCATTGCATATATCCAACGGTGAACCTCTAATATCAATCAATCATAAAAAGATCCTCAAGACTAGAAGGACAAAGCAAAACCCCTCCTCCCCAGTCCTCACGAATATCAAGCAGTGCATACCATTGCATATATCCAACGGTGAACCTTTTACCAAAATTGTCTTTACTTCAATAGTTTCATAATTGGCATAAGTAAATAAACAAGAGGAAAGACCTAAAAAAAAGTGAAAGAGGTTTATAAATTAAATTAACCACAGCAAAATTGAGAACTAGATTACCAATGTCTACTATCTTCAAAACACGTTCTTGGGACAACATAAAAAGCTGCCACCGCAGAATCAAACTTCAACTTTCAGTACCCAAAGCAAGTAAAAAATAAAAAATTATATTCCAAATTTCACAAAGGACCAATTCAAAATTTACCCCAAAAACAAAAATTATAAAAACATTTATGTAGCAAGAAATTCAAAACAAAACCAAAAAATCGGCACTCCAAACTCCAGGAAAAAAAATTAAGTTGAAGTGTCACCCAAAACTTCAAAACAAATCCACATCACAGTATAACAGTTAAACGATAACGAATCACTCAAAAGAGTGAAACAATTAAAACAAAAACAACCAAGTCGTGGATGTTCCAACAATGATGTTTCATAAGGTTGATGAATGTTTAACTTTACCTTTTCTGATTGCATTTAACATATATAGTTGTGATTGGTGGAAATGTCATACAATGATTTCATGATTTAGAAAGCTGAACTTTAGATTGTTGTACATCTATGTCTTCTGGTTTAACAAATTTGATTGCATAGAAATCCTCTTATTTCATGTCCCTGTTTTTCTTTAGTTAGAGACCAAAAAAGGCCCCGTGGTTTTTGTCAGGGACCAATAAGGGCGTTGGAGATGCAACTGATGCTAGGTTAGGTGTCCACACGACCATGGAGATGCAATTGATTATCAAAACATCGTCGTCTCAACATCCACGGTGGACCACTCAAATCCGCGTCAGCAAACTAACGTGTCAGGTGTGCACCGTTAGTTGGGCCGTTGGATGGAATTTAACAGAAGGACTAACGTGGCCTGTTTTTTGTAGTTTAAGAGACTACTATGTCCCCTTTTTATTGCTAGGGACTAATAAGGGCTTCGTGGATATTGTGAGGGACCAAAAAAGATATTTACTCATAAATCTATATTGTCATTTCAAATCTTATAAATTATACTAAAATCTTTTAAAATCTAATCTTATAAAATCTTGATTGTAAAAAAAAAAGTATTTAAAGTCACTACAATTCTAAATAGCAATGTTATTAAAACCAGCCCAGTCATTGACCCGGTCGAGGTACTGGGTCACTGGGTCATTGGTTTAAACAATGGGTCATTGGTTCAACTGCATGACCCGGTAATTATATGTAATTCTATAATTTATATTAAAAAATTATAAACATACTCAAATATCTAAAACAAAATGATAAAAATTTCAAATATTTTAATATAAAAAATAAAAAATCACATATTATTATCCAATAGAGGATCAAACAAAAATATGATGATCGTGATACGGGACTTTAGGTTCAGTAAACGATATCTCTAACTATAAATCAAATTAAAATTTTCTGCATAGTGCATAATTGAGATAAATAATAGTGTTATAGGTACATAACTTATGTAACTCAATAAGCAAAAAAAATTCAAATATGTCCATTATTTTTTTTGTTTGAAAAAAAAATTTGGAATTTTTTTTTTTAGACCGAGCCGGGTCATCGCTTAACTGATTGGGTCATCGGTTTAATGAAAATCGGCCGAGTCGCACCGGTTCTAATGCATGGCCAGTCCGTTACTTCAACCGAACCAGATATATAACTGATTTACCGATTCTCGAGTCGACTCGGTCGGGTTGGTCCGGTTTTATCAACATTGCTAAATAGTCTTTTAAAATTTATAATTTTTATCTCAAAATAGTCTTTTACAATTTTAATCCAATACACTCCCTAAGTTAATTATAAATTGACATTAATTCAGCATAAAATATGAAAAAAAAAATTACTAAAATAAATTGGGAGAAGATTCGTTTACAAATATTTTTGAATTTTTTTTACAAATTATACTATATTCTCCCAAGAAAACATAGTGTAGTTTGTAAGAGTTTGTAAACAAAAAAGTTTGTAAATATAACTTGTCCCAAATAAATTTGTTCCAAATAAATAAATTACGAAATTCTCAAAATTTATTCTTTGATGAAAGAAACACGTGGCGATTATCAACATAAATCTAATTTAATTAAGGACACAACTAAGGAAATTTTCTTAAATTTTATTTAATGAAATTAAATTCATTTCTTTTTCTTGTTATTATTTATAAGTTAATTATAAATTAATTCAAATTAAATTCCTTTTGTAAAAGAAAGTTTTTAATGATAATTAATTAAAATTCAATCAACATTAAATCCTTAAATTTCAAATTTCAAATTAAATTAAAACTACAGAGAAGTTTTAGGAAAAAAAAATCTGCTGAAAACATGTCCAAGTTTCACTCCATAATTTTCATATATAGTCCATATAGCATATACTATATGTATGTATTATCTGCTGCAGAAAAAAAAATAAAAATTTCTATTACCCTTTTCTCTGTTTCTTCTATGAGTTCCATGAACTTATCAGTTTTCACTTCTATGCTAGTTTTAAGTACGTGAAAAACAGTGTTGCTTTGTGTTTCATGTTCTGTCAGTGTTTTTTGTCTGCTGTTTGGATCTTTGAATTATGAATCTGAGTAACAGCACGGGATCCATGTCAACGCCAAGTTCAAGTTCAGCTCTGAAATCCGGCGACGGAGATGCCTCCGACCAATTTCCGGTGGGTCTCCGGGTACTGGTGGTGGATGATGATCCCACGTGCCTTATGATCCTTGAGAGGATGCTGCGTGCTTGCTTCTACGAAGGTTGTCAATCGCTTTCTTTCTCTCCCAATTTGCTTATTTCTATGACGAATTAGTAACAAAAAAATATAAAAAAAATACAACTTTACCTTCTTTTTCAATGTTTATGTGCACATAGATACTTGTTGTCAATCCCCTCTTGTCTCTTTGTTTGGAGTTTTTTTTTTTTTTTTTTTTTTTTTTTTTTTTTTTTTTTTTTTTTTATAATCGAAACATGTTTTTTGATAGGGTATTATTACTCCGACCCTTTTATCTATGGCTGCTGAAATTTGAGATTGTTGAAGTCATCTCTCTTTTGAAGTTTACTTCTTGATTCCTTTGACATGGTTTTTACATGGCATGAAGTGATGTTGTTTGTTTTCACCTTGTGATGCCAGATTTGTTTGTTAATTCCTTTGTTTCAGACCTTTGGAATACCATAAGTTAACTTTTAGGCTTGAATAGATGACAGATTTGTTTTTTATTTGATTCGTGGATTTTTTTAATTTGATTCTGTTAGCTTGATTGGTCCATTTCAGTTACGAAATGCAACCGAGCAGAGGTTGCATTGTCACTTCTGAGAGAGAACAAAAATGGGTTTGATATTGTTTTAAGCGATGTGCATATGCCGGATATGGATGGATTCAAACTTTTAGAGCATATTGGGTTGGAGATGGACCTTCCGGTTATCAGTAAGCATCTTTTTGACCGGTTTGGATCAATTGATAGAATTGCATTGATATAGACTGAACTGACATATTGCATATGAATGATAATTTACAGTGATGTCAGCTGATGATGGAAAGAATGTTGTAATGAAGGGTGTGAAACATGGTGCTTGTGATTACCTAATTAAGCCCGTGCGTATAGAGGCTTTGAAGAATATATGGCAGCATGTGGTTCGGAAGAGAAAGAATGAGTGGAAAGATCCGGAACCATCTGGTAGCGTGGAAGAAAGAGATCAGCTGCAAAAGCCATCTGATGATGGAGATTACTCATCCTCAGCAAATGAAGGCAAAACCTCAAAGAAGAGGAGGGATGAGGAAGAGGAATCAGAGGAGAGGGATGATAGTTCCTCGTTGAAGAAGCCGCGGGTTGTTTGGTCTGTTGAGCTCCATCAACAGTTTATGGGTGCTGTGAATCAACTGGGGATTGACAGTATGTATTTCTCAATTAATCCTAGAAAAAATGCTCTCTTTTATCTTTGTTGTTTTTCCTTGCAGTCTTATCTAAAGTAGCAAACAATGCCTGACAGTATTTCCGATACATAATTCTTGGAATTTTACGTGTATAATCTTGATTTGTCATACACGAGTCATGAAAACCTCAAATCAACCCTTTTTTTTTTTTACTACTTGCATTTTGCAATATACCCCATCTAGACTTTCTAGGTTGTTCACAAATAGGCAATTCAAATTTTCAAGTATATATTAGTCAGTAATTTTAAACATAATTAAGATCCCATAGTGGCTTTATACAAATTTGTTTTTACCTCTAAATTTTCTTACCCCACAAGATACTTACTTGAATATCTTATATATGAAGAATTATGGTGATCTCTTCTTTCCTTATTCAAATTTAGCATTTATATACAGAGGCTGTTCCTAAAAAGATTCTGGAATTGATGAATGTTCCTGGGCTCACTAGAGAAAATGTTGCTAGCCACCTCCAGGTATGATACTATTATGCCCAATGTTATACGTACTTTGGGAGAGACTCAGAATTAATGTTATCCATACTTCTCTTTTTGTTGTGGTCATCTATGCTATTACTTGAAGGAGCTAATTCTTCTTTCATCTGGTTTTCGGAACAGAAATATCGTTTGTATCTTCGAAGGCTGAGTGGAGTTTCCCAGCAGCAGAATAGCTTTGGCAACTCCTTCATCAGCCCACAAGAAGCATCATTTGGGGCAACTTCAATCAATGGAATTGATCTTCAAACTTTTTCAGTTGCTGGCCAGATGCCAGCACAAAGTCTTGCCAAGCTTCAAGCAGCAGGACTTGGTAGGTCAACTGCAAAAGCAGGTATGCCTATACATCTAGTTGAGCAAAAGAACCTATTCAGTTTTGAGAACCCAAGATTAAGATTTGGAGAAGGGCAACTGCAACATTTGAGCAGCAGTAAACCAATGAACTTGCTTCATGGAATCCCTACCAATATGGAGCCAAAGCAGCTTGTCAATTTTAACCAACCTACCCAATCCTTTGGCAACTTGAATATGCGAGTCAATGCTCCTGTTGCTCAGAGCAGCCCCTTGTTGATGCAGATGGCTCAGTCTCAACCAAGAGGTCAGATGTTAAGTGAAAATACTGGTTCACATGTTACCAGGTTTCCATCATCTTTGGTGCAGCCCACAGTACCAAATGGAATTTCTAATGGTGTTCTGGGAAACGGGATTGCTGGTACCAGCAACATAACTCCTGCTTATAATCCAGTTACACAAAGCTCTTCATTGTTGAGTTTTCCCATGAACCGAACCACTGAAATGTCAGCTAGTAATTTCCCTCTTAGAAGCACTCCAGGTACATCCAGTATCACAACAAAAGGCATGTTTCATGGGGAACTTACTTCAGGAATTAAAGAATCTGGTGGATTTGTTCCAAGTTATGATATTTTTAATGAACTCCACCATCAGAAATCCCATGACTGGGACTTAAGAAACAGAGGCCTGACATATGCTTCTCAGAATGCAAATCCTTTACAAGGTAACATTGATGTCTCACCATCAGTTTTAGTCCATCAGGGTTTTTCCTCTATCCAACAGACTGGACAAAATAGAGATGCTACTTCAATTGGAAAGGCTGTGTTCTCCATAGGTGAAGGCATGAATCAAGGTAATCTCCAAAATGTTGGTCAACATCTCAATACGCTTCTTGGTGACAATTCAATGAGGGTTAAGGCTGAAAGAATTCCTGATCCAAGCTCCCAGATTAACCTCTTCCCTGAGCAATATGGGCAGGAGGACCTTATGAGTGTATTTCTGAAACAGGTTAGTCCTTTTTTCCTTTGTGTAGACCCTAAATGTTATTTGTTTGTTTATAGTTTTCCTTTATTAACAAATCAACTTTCGTCTGTATTTCTGGCAGCAACAAGGCATTGGATCAGGTGAAAATGAGTTTGACTTTGATGAATATTCCATAGACAACATTCCGGTCTAGAACAGATCCTGTCCCTTCTCTTTCTAATTGCAGTTGCCCATGTAAATAGTTGGTGTTCCATTTGAACCTAATCATTCTGCAATCAGCTAGTTTGGACCGAGTTTAAATTTTTCAACAAATAGAATTTAGTTTATGTAAAAAATTCAGGCTACAGGGAGGAGTGTACTATGACAATTTAGTCTGGATGCTCAAGATCATTTAAGCAATGATGGAGATGAATAACTACAAACTTCAACTGCATGGATGCAAAAAGCATATATGCAATTTTTGACTGCTTTTGATAGCAAAAGTCCTAGCAAGCTTCTGATGTTAGGGCCTTCATGAAGATATATTGGTTTATGGCAGAACTGCAGAAGCAAGGTTTTGATACATCTGCAGACTCGTAGGAGCATTTTGACTTGGATAACAAATTATGAAACTAAATCTCCTTTGTTCCTTTTTTCCTATTTTGTTCTCTCAATTAAGCAAATGACTGCAGTTAGCATGTAAATATTCCGTTTGGTTGCTCAAGACATTCAGTCTGGCTATTATTTTCTGGTTGTTTCTGTACTTGGATTTTACATGTTCTGTTATGTTTGAGCTGCAATCGATCTGCTCCGTTCATTATGATATGCACTCCATGCACATTGAACTGATTAGGTACTCAGGTGGGAATTTATTGCCACCACTGTGCAAGATATTGATTATGGGGCTTTTCGGTGCGTAGCTTTAGGTTGTGTTCACTTCACAACCCACAAGAAGTTGCAGCCTCGCATTCTTATTTATTTATTTATTTATTTTGGGGGGATTGTGGAGAGTTTCTCAAGAGTGGGCGAGTTTGTAAAATATACAGGCTAATGGTGATCAACATGGCAATGTATATTTTTAAAAATGAATACTTTCTATGTGAAAAGAACAAGTTATAAAATCTTTTGATGGATGTCAACGACCTTGTAGGCTTGTAGCCGAGTATTAAGATTGGGGGGAGCTACGTAGCCTATTTTTTTCCCCTTTCTACAGGGAAGGAATTAATGTTTTTTTTTATATTACAGGAGATAATTTTATCTCTTATATACATAAAAATGTGTAGGGCTCCTTTTTTTTTCGCTCTCTTATCTATATAAATCTCACATACTTTTATATATACATAAGAGATAAATTTTATCTCATATAACATGAGAAATATTAATCTCATATTATATATTTCCTTTTAACTCGTAATAAGAAAAATCATAAATGTCATCTATGCAAGAAAAGAATGAAATTTTTTTTCTTTCAAAAAACAATTATATTTCTATCGTCTGACTCAATTATACAATCTTCTGTACTGGAAATAATCATACAAATTGAGTGGGGATTGCCACAACATCCGAAATGGATACACAGCATGATGTTTCTCACTGAGTTTCTATGATGATCAACTATATAAATCCTGTCTCAGAACAACAGCCACTCATCCAAAATCAAACAAAGCCACTATTGCAGCATCAAGATGATGGGCAACAGTATTAGGAACATCGTAGTAGCCAAGGAAAGCTGCTTCCTCAAACCACTGCTTGGATATACAGATGGAAGAGAGCATTCCTCCCCATTGAAGAACACTTTACTGGGAAATCCATCACCACCAGCCACATTGATTCCAGGAGTATTTTTCTTTGTAAATGAGATTACAGACTGTTGTTTCCCTGGTACTCTAGGATCTCTTCGAGGGTCAGAACCATTTGTTTCTGCTACAAGAAAGTTCAATCCCTGCTTACCTTGCATGACTATTGTATTGTTTAAGCTGCCTAAGGTACTTGCATTGAATGAATACATTTCCTCAAAACCTGTTGCTGCTTTGTCCATTTGTACTGCTGCAAACCAATCAACAAAGTTTGTCTCATCCCAATTAAAAAGTGTGATCCTTGCAGTCCAACCTCGACGGTAATCTGTATATACATGCCAGTTAATGCTCACACCACAGTTGTCACCACAAGGCATAGGGTTGGGCACTGGTAGGTGTTTCATGCTAGCCCAAGTAACAGCCATTTCAGTTCGATTCTCAAAAGGAACAAGAAGTGCATCTGATGGAAGCCACATAGCTGGTGCATCAGTACTACAGGTTCTGTGTGGGTTATTGGGGCACCCACATGCACATGTGTTACAAGGAATAACTGATTCATTATAATAGGCTGAAAATGAGACACAACATTTACGTGTTGCACCTTTTGACTTTGTTGTTATGTTGCAAACAACCTGCCAACTAGCAATTGCAGATATGTTTGATGGTAACCCTGTTGCGTCTGGAGATTCACTAGTACTCACCCTAACAGGAGCACCACATGCATAGTCAGGGTTGAGTGTACCTTTTATCTCCCAGTTTTGTGGTGGTGAAAGCTGGGAGCGGTTAATGTTTGGTGGCATTTTGTACACCTGCATTTGGAACCTTGAAGCTGACATGCTAGGATCCATTGATGGTGGCAATATAGTACCATTCCGACAGCAAAATGGAATTTTGCCAAGGTCTGAATCATTGAACCTTGTAGGAGGGAGATCAATTATGGTTGGTCTTTTTTCACAATTCAATACATTGGCAAAGTCAATTTCCTTGTAGAATACACCTTGTGGACCAAAGACACACTCAGAAGAATCAACAATAGATGGATATGCCCCTTTCATTGTGAATATAAACTCATCATTGTTCCAGTCCCAGCTTAATCTCCAGTTGTCAAGACGGCCAAGGGGGTTATGGTTTGCAATTGTAACCTCAGCCCAGTAATTGGAATCGTATGCTTTGATCACATCATACATGATGCTAAGATCACCATTCTGTCTAGGTAGAAACTCTTCATCTGTAGCTATGTTTGTTTTGAAATTGGGATCACTTGTGCAACAGACATGAGTCTCATTGTTCCCTGAAGACGAACCATGAAAAGTAAACATCCTCCTCAAAACAAGCACTTCGTCCAAAGCCAACATCACACTTTTTTGCCCATGAATTATATAACATTTACCCAATTAATCAATCACACATCACCCAAAAAATAAAAATTAAGGGACCAACAATTCAACCTTGTGAAATAATTTTCATAAACAAAAATAAAGGTTTTTCATTGCATTGGCATTGTTAATTAAAGAAATAGGTAAAAGAACAGAAAAAGAGTATAGAAGAATCACTTTCATTATAATAAACCTGAAAATAGGAATGCTACCCTCTAACTTACAAAGCACTGCTATTATTCTTCACAAAAGAAGAAGAAGGACAAAATACAAAACCACTTATGCTATTCTAACACATGAAATTTCACCCCTCCCTAATTCTTACCTCCCATACAAGATAACAGATTACTAATTAAATAACCAGTTGCTATTAATTAATAATTTACTTATTTTTAACTGGTCTATATGAAAGATTAGAATCTCAAACATTTTCCATACACAACATAACCATAAAACAACAATCAAACAAAAGCACATTAAACATATAAAAAGAAAGATTAGTGTTTCTCATGTCGTAGGAGATGATTTGAATCTCCTACACATACAAAAGTGCGTGGAGATTTATATTTTCTTTTTCTCTTCACTGTCCCAATGCATGTGTAGGAGATAATTTTTTTATCTCCGGCAAAGAAATATTAATCCCAGGAAAGAAGAGTGCAAATCCACCAATAGGGAGGTTTACCACATAAAAATGAAGCGAAGAAGAATAAGGTACCTTGACCAATGGGTTTACCACAAACGAATCCATCATTAGCCAGGTTTATGCTAGAAGGCATGGGGACGCTGGGTGGCGCCACCCCAAGCTGGGTCCCCACCAATTCGACCCGAACCTGCATCTGGGTCAAGTCCCCAGCAGTCGCCGCCGCCGTCTTAAGATCGGTCACGCCGGACCCAGCAAAAACGGTGCCGTTCCCGACGGAGCCGGGGAGGCTCGTGCCGTCGGCGAGCACTGCATTGGAAGCAGAGACCAACCACTCATGGTGCTGAAACCCCACGAACACCCTCCAAGCCTGAAGCTCCTCGAGCCCGTTGTTGAGCACCGTGAGCGTGGACTCGAACCGGTACGGTTGCTGCGCCGTGTCGGAAACGTTCGGCGGAAGCTTCGCGCCGCCGGTGTGAACATACGACAGGAGTATTCCGTTGCAAGAATCGGCGGCTTGCGGCTGTGACAACGACGGCTTTGCGGAGAAGATGGTTATGACGGCGATGGTGAAGAAGAAGCAGAAACAGCTATGAACATGCATGGCCATGGCCACGGCTACGTATTTTGAAGAGAAAGAAAGGTTATGTTCTATATATTGCTTTCTTTTTTCTGAATAAAAATATTGTTCTTAGAATATCATATATATGAATTTATTCAAAGTTTTTTTTTTGGTGTTTTTGAGTTGAGTTATTCAAAGGACAGAGCATGCTGTGTTTGCTTATCATAGTTTTATTAGTTAGTTTTAAATTTGTGTGAAACTTGAAAGTGTTAAAAGGGATTTTTAAATTGGCAGGCTCAAATCAAAGGTGCTTGGTCCCATGGGGCAGGTTTTATAGTTTTGACCGTTTTGTTGCTCATCACATACGCGGTGCTCTATAAGTTTGGAATTTGGATATAGACATGGTCAAGGTCTTCAAGGACAATGATGGTTTGCCCAAATGGCAAATTAAGTTGAAATGGTATTTGAGAGTAATTGGATTTTGTTTTTTTTTGCTTACTGATTCTTACATGGTGACTTGTTCGTTTAGGAAGTGTTTACAGATTCCAAAAGAGTGACGTTGTAGAACGAGAAAGGGTATTTGTTGCGTGTTATTGATTGGGTACACAACTCATGCGAAACACACCAAACACATCGTCCAAACTACTATTCTTCCAAGGGCAAAATTAAATGTTTTCATCATCTAATTTGCAAATTTATCTAATTTGTCGCTCTCATTTTACTCAGTAAGTGAGACAAAGTAAAAAATAATATATTTTTTTCATTTTAAAACTTATATATTGCGGTCGATATGATGATCTGGGTTTACATATTAAGAACTATATTGATTTACATGAATAATAGATTATATTGACTTTTTTTATGATGCCTGTTTATATATTGTACATTTCAATTTTTTCCTATATAAAAGTCTATATCTAAGATACATAGCTTATGTGTTTACAAAAGTAACTAAAAATACATGATCATGACGAATAAATTTAAAAGAATTTTAATTAGTATGGAAATATTGTGCAAACATCAAATCGTGAAAGATTAAACTGAAAATAAAGTATTAGTGAAACACCAAAATAGTATTTTTATCTAATCTTCTTAAAATATTTATTTCATATTAGATAAACCCCAGATTTCACTTACGGGAAGAGAAAAAGTCATATATTATTTGGGGATTGAACTGATGATATCAAACCTGCACTCGAGCCTTGAAGAACCTTTTCATAAGTTTTTTTCTCATAAATCTTTATGGGGAAGAAAGTGAATGCACCAGAGATCAGGCTAAAGCCCAAAATGATCCTAGTCCTGCTATACGAAACAACCCAACCCAGAGACTATGCTGGTGGCTTCATTGACCTTGTGTCCTTGATTGTAGAAGGCCCAGTTAACTTGTCATAAGTCATAAGTTATTATTTTCCGTGACGGGATATATTTGTGAACCATCAAAATTTGTGTAAAAATTACACTACTGCAGCATGGTAGTAAATAATGAATACTTCAGTGAATTTGATATTCTATATATTAATAACATTATTCATATTGTAATTTTCCCTGTATACATATCACAGAAAACAAAACCTTTGTATTTTTGTAAAATTACTCTCCTTCAATCAAAAAGCCTGAAAAGATAATGCGGAACCAGCATATAAAAAAAAAAAAGCTAATTTTAAAAAAATAAAACTTAACGGTCGATAGTGATAATATATACTCTATTAATTTTTTAATTGTCTGTCATATTTTATATTTTTTCCCTCGGAAGGATGTGTCCTTCAACTAAAAAAAAAAAAAAAATTGATGTTTGATATTTTCTTTCTTCTCTCTCACCCACACATTCACAAATAGATTCCTCTTTTTTTAACTCTTGCAAGCACTACGATACGACACTATAAACTGAGTTTGAGTGGGGCCTTTGAGTCCTTGTGCAAATGGCACGTGGGATGAGATAACATGCAGTGGGAAAATTCAGCTGGAGAAATGATATGAGGGGTCCAGGAATAATTTATGGTTAGGAGCTTAATTTGGCTGGTTTCGTGAATGAAGCCCCAATAGATCTGTGCTCATTATCCTGGCACTCTGCTGCTAAGTTTTGTTTTTCCAAAATCATTTCTACCTAATCAATGTCTTCGTCATTGAGCTAATTAATTGACACAGAGTGTCCAAAGTCATCCTTTCATAGAAAAAAAATGCATTTCATAACTTTCATTTAATATGGAAAATAAAATGAATAATGACATTACTTATCATTATGAAAATGATTGTGGATATGCTAGAACTTGCAAATGGAAAATGATGTCATTCTTAGTAGCAAAAGAAATTAGAGCCAATTACTTGTTCAATTGGTAGATTATAACTAATGATCGATTTATTATTGAAAGGAAGAGTTAAGATGATTAGGGGATCAATAATAATCCCAGGCCAGACAAGGAGGCAGACATTAGGCTCAGTTCAGACATGATGAATATTCATTCACTTTTCTATGTAAAATCTTGTGGGGTAAATGTACATTACATTTTTATTTCTTCTTCAAGTTTAGAAAACGAATTGGCCCAGATATTCGTTCTACCTGAATGTTCTGTACATGGATTATGATCATTGAAGTGACCCCATAGCGAAATATTAGGAATAGTCATTCCTCATCACACTCTGGGCAGTGGTTTAGAGCATTTTCCGCCAAGCAAATACATGAAAAAGGACGCTTAGAAGAAAGTAGAAACAAGTATAATATCTCAAAAAGATAGAAATATATTATTACAAAAAAAAAAAAAAAGATAGAAATATATCAATATCACATTTCCTAATCTATTTTTTAAATGTCACCAAATTTCATTGGTTCCAATAACGAAACTTCAGACGTAATATACATAGAATGACAAATAATTTCCTAAATATGATATTTTGACATTTTTTTTTTCTTCAAAAGATGACATTTTGATCATTAAAAATGTCTCTTCAATTATCTACGAATTTTAAGAAATATTTTAGTCACGTCACACAATTGGACATTAAAATAATAAAAATTCCCTTCAACCATGAGCAGAGAAGAGGTGCTGACGGAATTCCTCTAAATATAAACACCATTCTTATCCCTATAAATAGTAACTGCGTTAGCTTATTTGTCTGCTAATGCTCTCTCTCTTTACTATGCTGTTATTCTGTTTTACTAATTAGCTTGACTATTAAAGTGAATTTACAGCTGTCTCAGCGACGTATCCTCCCACGCTTACAAGTATTCGAGTGGTAGAGAGATTTAATATTTAATATAAAGAGTATGGAAAAAATATTTGTCTTTTTAAATGATGATTCATTTATCTAAAAGTAATGTTATTAAACTCGACTCAAATAATGTTCTTAAACTCAGCTCGATTATTGATCCGATTGAGGTAATGAGTCAATCAGTGGGTCACTGATTCAATAGTATGACTTAATAAATATATATAAATCTATAATTTATATTAAAAGAATTATAAATATACTTAAATACATGTAAAAAAAATATATCACTTTCAAGTATTTTAATATGAAAAATAATAAATTACATATTATTGTCCAACAAAAAATCAATCAAACATATGATATTTGTGATACTAGTGTTATAAATTCAGTAAACGACATCTCTAATTATAAATCAAATCAAAATTTCTTGGATATTGCATAACCAAGATAATATTAGTGTTGTAGGTACATAACGAATAAATCTTTGGTGCTACTATTGCACCTAAATTCAGTGCATCCCAGCAATAGAAGCATTACACATTAGAGGAAAAAGAAAAAATTTGGCAAAAAAAAAAAAATTATAGCTGACATGTAATATTTTTATTGATGAGATGCACTGAATCTTTGGTACAACAGTAGTACCAAAGATTTATTCGTACATAACCTACAGATTACTCAAATATTTTGTGTAAGATTGAAAAAAAAAATATCAATTGATGAGAACAAACTAGTTTTTTTTTTACGAACCGGGTCGAGTCATCGGTTGAATTAACTGGATCACTGGTTTTTATGAAATCGGCCGGGTTGCACCGGGTTACACCAGTTCTGTAACATGACCTATACAATATGAAAATCGAACCAATTATATGACTGATTTATCGATTTTCCGGTCAACCCGGCCGGGTCGATCTGATTTTTATAATATTGGTTAAAATTAGTATTTTTTAGGGTTAAGGATGGTTCAATAGTATTTAAATTAAAAAAAATCTATCACTCTCTTCCTTCATAATTTTTATTATCTATTTTTTTTTCACCCCCATAATTTTTATTATTTATAATTTTTTACTTAAAGTAACATAATTTTATATATATTTTTTTTTAAAACAAACACTAATCTCAAATATTATAGATGCCCTTCACTTCTTGGCTTGAGTGGTTAGGTGAGTTGATCGTTTTATATGCCATCAAAGCTTCCCATAATTATAGAGTCACGGGTTCAATTCCTATTGGTCCATTAGTGAAATTAATTCAACCTTCAATTCTCAACTTAACCTTTTAGTACAAAAGATATTTTTGCTTTCTTTACAATTTATTCTTTTGAGGTTATATATCATGAACGAACAATCAAATCACTTTTTGCTAAATAATGCTATACTACAAACAGGGTAGTGTTATGCAGTACCCCATATGGAAAAAGAAAAAAGAAAAGTGCATTTTACACAATTGGCATGACATATAAGAAGACAAATTAATTCGACGCGAATTAAGAGTGTAGTATTTTGTTGCCACAATAACTGTGATACTAATATTATTTCTCCAATACATTTTAAAAAAGGCTACATGCTAAAAAATCAAATGAAAAACTGTGAAGTCTCAAATTAGAAATTGTTAAACTGATTAAAGCAAAAGAAACTGTAGTAATTGATCCATGTAAATAGTGGTTCTAAAAAACACTTTGGTGGTGGAGCCTACTGCGAAGGCCGATGGATGAGTGACCAAACTTTATGGGTTATTTAATTGGAGCAAACCAGGTTGGAAAGGCATCATGGACGGCCATTTGCGGTGGAAAATTGGCTTTTTAACACCGTTTGCCGTTGACAAATAGTTAATAATTTACCTCAAACTAACTTTGGGATTAATGAATTTTGCGTAGGGGTGCTTTGCCTTTTATCATGGGGTTGTTACTTGAAAATGGTTCTGATTCTGATGGACTTTACGACTTTCAAACCATTCATATATGGATTATTGCTGTAATATAAGTTCTTAATTTGACTATAATTAAGGATGACAGACGGATGACAACGAAAGAAAACGTTCAATTTAATGAGTTTGCCGCAATTGAAATCCAAAACCGTATTAGTCGAACGTTAAAGTTTTGGACATTGATTGATATTAAAAAAAAAATAACTTAATGGTCTTTCAAAAATAAATTAGACATTATCAAAAAGTTTGCACTCAAAATCATAGCGTGATTGTGTCCAATATTTATCAAACATTTTGGTATCAATTTCAAATCAAATTTGATGCCTCCGGATAGGAATTTGGTATAATACAAATACTATATAGTGTGCAAATAACATGGAACCACATGTAGTACGTACATTGTGTATGTACCGGTTTGGGTTGTCAAGAGGTAAAAATAAAATTGGTTTGGTTGAATTGAATTGAAAGAAATTATAAATGAGGGCAATAAATATAAACGCATAAAGGGACAGGAGGATCAATTTGTACGCCAACGCATTTCGTCACAGAAAACAAATAAACAACCAAATGAATCCAACTTGCTTCACTTTTCTGCACCTCTTAATGGCTTCTTGCGTCTCCATTACGTCTCCCTCTAGAACCATCCAAGACCTTATTACCTCCCTCTTATTGTTTGCAGTTCCTATTACCAGATTTCAACCCTTATTTACCTCGGATCTAACTTGTAAATAAACAACAATGTTGTTGTTAGAGTGAGACACACTACTAGCTGATGAAAAACAACGTACCTCACTGAAAGAAGCACCAACCACATTGCAAGTGGTAATTGGTAAAGTAAAACAGTAAAAGCAAGAGCTCACTAACTCTGTTTAACAACATAAAGATAGTTAGTTAAATTAATCTCCACTTTCATTTCCATTAACCGTGTTCAAACATGGCTGCTTTCTGTTAAAGTAAAACGTGTCGGTGACCTCCATTGTTTTTCTGTCTACTCATTATTTATTCTCTTTTCACCTTTCTTTTCTTTCTTTTTTTTAAAAAAAAAAAATATATAAAATAATGCATAATTAAAAAGGCCTTGTGTTTGTATAGCTTCAAAAGACAAAGATTACACTGCTTCACACCACACATCAAATAGCAACACACACTCTCTTCAACTTTTTCTTTTCACTACACTTTCCACTATCCCATCCTTTTATTCTAAGCAATTAAACCCATCATTTCTTGGATCCCTCGTTTTTTGTTCATGAGCACAAAGAAAATGGGAACAACTCACACAACAACCTCAATTTGTTGTCTCATGATGATGGTTCTCTCTCTCACTGCTCTTGCTGTACCAATGACAGATCATCAGAAGCTAAAAACTACGTCAAAGGATGATGTTAAGTGCACACCCTGTGGCCAAGTTTCCTCACCGCCGCCACCTTCACCTTCACCGCCACCACCGTCGCCGCCGCCTGCTTCCACCACCTACTGCCCTCCCCCTCCTTCTCACCCTAGCTCCGGCGGTGGAAGTGGCACTTACTATTACTATCCTCCGCCGCCACCCTCTCAGTATACCTACGCATCGCCGCCGCCTCCGGCATCCACCGGAGGAGGAATCGGCGGAACATATTACCCTCCGCCGAATTACAGTAACTATCCAACGCCGCCGCCACCAAACCCAATTGTGCCTTATTTCCCTTTCTACTACCACACCCCTCCGCCACCGTCCACGGCGGCTCCTCCGTCATTGAGGGGCTCACCGGTCTACGCAATTACATTGCTATCTCTTTTTCTTGTATTGCTTTGATAGAAAGAGACAGAGAGAGAGAGAGAAACGAAAATGGTGGGAATAATTGCACACAGATTGGCAGATCTAGAAGTTTTCAGGGAAATGAGAGTGAGGACAGTGTAAGAACAGTGCACTTATTTTTATTTTATTTTTCTCTGAATTTCTAATGGTAATTACTGTAATGTAGGTTGATCTGCAATTTGTTGACAATTTGTAATTGTATCTAGTATTTTGATTTTGGTCAGTATGAAGGAAAAAAAAAAGAAGCTTTATTCATTTCCATTTATTTATTTACTCTGTGATTGTTAATTTTAGTGTGTTACATAAGGTGAGTTTATTTGGGCAATAAATAATAATTGAGGGTAGCCAAAAGAAATAACTATACCAAGTTGTCAACAAGGAATTGAAGTTGTTTTCATTTGTTGGATGAAGAATTGAAGATAGTAATTAATGATGAATTGGGTGTCCACTAAAACCATTTAATTGCAGGAGAAGGGTCCTTGTTCACTGATCCGTTGGGCTTGGGCATGTTGTTTTCTTTCGTATGTTAATTAACTATTAGTATACGTGTTCCTCTCTTGGCCCACCCACTGTGGGAGGAGCGTCTGATACCGGGGTCTCTTCCAATTTCAGAAGCTTTCATCTCTACTTTTAACGGAAAAAAGTTTTTTCAAATGCACAACAGTTGTTATGCATAGTTTGAATAGAATACTTACCTACTTAGAGAAGGACATGCATGCATTTACTTTGTCCACATATAAGTTTGCTTAAATATGTATGTAGATAAATTTAATGTAATTAATAATAATAATAATAATAATAATGATAATAATACAAACAATAAACGTGTCGATTATATTTGAACGCATATTTATGCAAATATATAGTTCAAATAATTTGTTATTTTTCTCGTCTATAGCTGTTAATTGTCGCCTCCAGCCGCATATGTATGTACCATAGTGTTATTATGGAAGACAATATAAAACTGTTGCCAGGTAAACGTTAAAACTAACCGATAAGGATAATGTGCTGGACTTGTTTAATTCGATGCTCTCAGGACTAGCATAGTTACTATATCCATCAAACGAGAATGCTGGGGTGGCTATAAGAATGATCTGGCAGCTTAATATTCTGACACGCTGATTCTGGTTTGATACTTGGGCCAATGAAGCTTCTGGGAATCGTTGACTAACACTAAATTTTCAGTTTATATGTAGTGAAAAAATATCCTTCTTTTATGGAGTATGTAATTAGAATATTAAAATTATTTTTTTTTATCTTCAAAAATTGTTAATTGATGTGAAGAGAAAAAAAGATAATTTTTATATTATAATTATGGATAAAACCAATCTTATGTTACATAAGATAGTGTACCTTATGTTGTGAAACAAAATTAAAGTGGATCCCACTAAAAAAAATAAAGATGGGATCCACCTTGATTTTGTTTCATAACATAAGAGATATTCTGTTTTGCAACATAAGATTAATTTTATCCTAATATCATATACTCCAAAGCACCGATACGTCAAATTTGGAGAATAATGAGTGTCGGACACGTGTCGGACACCGACACGTTCCGATACGTTCCGACACGCGTTCGACACGTAGTTGACTTTTTCCGACACGTTGACTATTCCGACACGCGATTTTGACCGTGCCCGACACGATCAAAGAGTACAAATGTAAAAATTTTGAAATTTTTATAAAATTAAAATAAATAAAAAAACATTTGGTCGAACAATTTTGAGCCCTAAATCAGACCAGACCCTCTTCCGTCGTTCTTCCTCACCTTGCCGTCAGTCAATGCTCTTCGAGGTGTGTTCTTCATTCTCAACCAACCCTTCAAGGTGAACACGGTACAACTCGATGGGCATCGCTTGTCTTCTTCATCGTGTTCAACTATTCAGGTCTTATTTTCTTCTTCGTTGTCTCTCTACTTACAAACATGCTAACATCCTCAATCTAATTTTACTGTTTGTTCCAACAATTACAAGTTATATCTTGTTGCTGTACCTGAAACTAGTTTGGGTAACATCCTCTGTACTTGTTGGCTGTTGCTTTACGCACATGTTTAATTTTACTGTTTGAAAAATTTGATGCATACAACCTGTTTGAAAATTTTACAAGTTATAAATTCTTCCTTTACTTGTTGCTGTATTTTTGGTTTATGTTGGTATTCAAATACTTGTGGACTTAGAAGGTAGTGTAAGGGTATTCGCACAGGTCACTAAAAGCACATAAATGTCTACAAATGCAAATGTAAAGGTCAGAAGAAGTTCAAGTATACCGATATACAGTAAAGTTTATCAGTGTTAAAAAAATAAGTGTTGCATAAATAATGAGACAGCTTGAAATTGTCGATTGACAATACTTCTATTGCACCTAAATCAGACAATGATATCAACAAAAAAGAACAATACAAATAGATTCAGCTTTAAAACAAATTTTAAGAGTATGGTAATAATGAAATTGTGCTGGTTAAGAGAGTGATTTCTTGTAGTGTACCTAAATTAAAGGGAATAAGGATCACTTGGCAATTATAAATACTATTACAAGAGGTTAAATTACTTACTTAATCCTTAAAGTTTCACAAAAATTCAATTTAGTCCCTTTAGTTCAGATTTGTTTTAAGAAATGGCAATTGGAGCTGCTAACCTGTCTAGGAGCTCATATTCATAGGAGAAAAGCATCACCAAGTGGGTGATTCAAAACCAAACAATTATTTTCTAGATTGTAAATCAATTGTTTTGTTACTTTGAATTTTGTATATATTCTGAATTTTCTAAAACAGTGGCTGTTCCTGATACACCAAAATCATATAGCGTGCAAGCTTTAAATGCTTGATCTAAATGGGGCCTTAAGACACTAAATCCACAATCTTTTCTTATGAATATATATATATATATATATATATATATATATATATTAAAAATATTATTTTATATCGAAACGTGTCCCAACGTGTCAAAATTTAACATTTTTTAGAATTAATGTGTCGGAGTATCGTGTCGTATCTCGTGTCCCGTGTCGGTGTCGGTGCATCGTAGATCATATACACCTTAAGGTATGTAATTATAATAAGTGACAGAAAAAAAATTGCAGCAATAAAAGAAAAAAACAGATCTTATATATATATATGGCTTAACATTTCTGCAGCAGCCGTAGATAGTGTTATCTACAGCTGACACAGAAAAGTGGGCCCCACGGCTTTTTTTAAAAAAAAAAAAAACTCAGGATCCGTTGCCGTATCCTAGGATTCGAACGCGGATCCTTACTTGCTGTAGGTATAGCAGCTGCAGAAATCATTTTGCCTATATATATATATATATATATATATATATATATATATTGGTTAAAATTTAATTTCAAACATTGCTGTGTGCTACGATCAATGTTCTCGATGAACCAACATTATTGGCATGTAGGGTCGCTGCTTTCTTTGATTCCACGCTCTTTTTCCTCTGTGTAGTCACGGCTGTGTTGTATCAAAGTTTCACCTTTAATCTTGTGCCAAACATGTTGCGTTCATATAGCACATGCCCATTTGTTTCTGTTTGTTATTATGAAAAAAATTCGTAATTCTATTTAGTAAGAAGAAATGCTGCTATATATAACATCAATAATAATCATTTAATTTATGGGTTTTATTATTTTATAAATTTATCTTTATCAAGTTATCATGTTCGTCTCATAAGAATTATCTAACAAAAAAACTCCTACACTAAAACATGAGTCTTTACATGTAATTGACTCTGTTGTTATGCATTTAAGAAAGGGAAAAGTATTTATCATTTTGAATGATACAACTTATATTCTTTCACTCTCACAAGGAGGTGGGTCTCACACCTTTATTTTTTTTATCAACTCTCTCTTCCTTTATCTATCTCTTTCTCTCTCTTAAAATGACACAACTTTATATCTTTTAAAATGATACACATTTATCCGTTTAAGAAAAATAAAATGGGACATTTCATGTTTTTCATTTGCCTAACCATTTTGAATATAACAAAGAAGCACATGGGGTTGGACTGCTACTCATGGCGGACCAAATTATGGAGTGACCAAGTAGGTCAAAATGGTAATTGCAAATTGAGCAGTAATGAGGTGTCAGTAATTAACCCGTGGACGGTGTTGAGTATGTGGGGCCTGTTTGGTTTGGGTAGTAACGCATAGAGATTCTTTACGAGAGTGAATAATTAAAGTTAAATATTCGAAAATGTTATTTATATATTTTAAATGGGATATGTTATTCCATTTAATTTTTTTTTCTGTCTATTTTTTTATCACTATCAAACATCGTTTGATCATAATCTAAAAATGAGAGAAAAATGATAAAAGTTAATTAAGATTCTGATTTAATAATATTAGAGAATGATAGGAAAATATAGGGAAAAAAAATAGGTAGGATAATCTATCTTATTTTAAATATATTTATTTTATTACTTACCAAAATTTGATGTTTAGCAAATAAATCTAAGTTATTTGCTAAGTTATTTAGCAAGAGCAAGATAAAATTTTACCCACTAATTAAAAACTATGTTAAAAAATATCAATTATTGTACTGTTAACATTATATTTCTAACATTAAAATTTGAACTTTAAACTTTGAATGTCATTCGTGAAGTCTTATTTAAGATTTTTATATGATGTTGAATGTGAAAATTTTAAATGAAAGAATTTCTTTGTAATTATTGTATAATTGACTTTGTAAATTATAAATGAAAAATGATGTGGTGTAAAAATACTCTCACGAATAAGTTGATAACAAAAAATCAAATTACATTTTACTAGCAATTCTTTGTAAGTTCTTAACTATTCAATTTGAACTTATAACATACCTAACTTTGAAATAAGAAGACTCTCCTTTTCCTAAACTCTCAGAATCTTTTTTTTCGATGGTGTGATATAAAGGAGTAAAATTCTTTTATTGTGAATTTACTTTTAAAGTTAATAAGTAAGCATAAATTTATCTCCAATTTGATTTAAAATGTATTATAATTTTAACTCCCTAAAAAATT